AATCAGAACTCAAGTTCTATGCAACAAAAATATCAAATTCGGAATCAGGATCAAAAACTGAGTAGACTAATGTGTATTTCGAAATTTTTAGTTCATTTGTATGTTTTGGTGAAAATCTGTATGCTTTTTTCCACGGGAATATTCGAAAAACATAAAAGTCCTCGTACACGATAGAGATACAAATCAGTCGACTCAGTTTTTGATCCTGATTCCGAATTTGATATTTTTGTTGCATAGAACTTGAGTTCTGATTGAGAAAACTGAGAATTGGTCAGTTTTTTCGCATGATTTGCTTCCATTTGTTCTGATACTAGGAAAATTTACTTTGTGCGCTGGAGTGCCACTAAGTAGTGCTAACCAGAACTAATTAGTAATTAAAAAACGATCAGAGATACCGTTTTTAAACCTTTTTATAGGGAATTATATCTGCAAACAATTCTCTATCAGACTACACTACAATCGATTGAATGTAACATTTATATCGAAAGCTAGAAAGGTTTTAAAATATACCTGTCAAACTAAAAATTTCAATTAATTTTGAACTTAATTAATTAATAACTCTGTCAATATTTGATCAACGAGTTTTTTATTGCATAGGCATATCACCGAAGATGTTCTCTACAAAATGGCCAAATTTGAGGGTATGTTTAGGGGGAGGACCCCCCCTTAAATGAAGGGTATAAAAGTTTCGCGATTTTAGCCCCGACAGGAAGTGCCCTGACAAGGTTTTCCAGATGTAAGTAAAAATTTTGATTGTAGTAATTTTAACACTTAAGAGCACTGTATATCATGTTACCCTTCGACACCGTCAGAGGTCTATCTACTCAGTTTGGACAAAATATTTGACACTTTTCTCCCGACGAATGGAGTGAATTTCATGCTACATTTCTATGATACATATGGAGTACATCATAGGTATTATACAATACCATAACGGAATTTGTAGCATAGATTAAACCGGCTTAGGATCAAATTAAAATGGCTCTTAAAAGTTAAAAGAATCTTCGGAATTTAAGTTTATTAAAGTTCACGCGAAACAACTTCTGCATTTCTAATTTACTTTTTTTGCTCACTCTGCGACTGAAATGGCTCCATGTTTTTAACGAAATGTAGTAGGTTATAGGTAATCGACCATGCAGATTCTGAATATGATAGTTGTTTTCCTCCATAGGTCTTTTCTAGTCGGTTTCTGAAAAACTGGTTTTCCAGAAACCTCGAAAAATCCCCAAAACTTTTTAAAATAAGTCATGATTGTAGCCCACGAAATTCTGAGTAAAATGAGACATCTTCCAGCTCTACACGACCTTTCTTTGCAAAGTTATAGTGTTTACAAGAAAAGCCTGAAATGTTCATTGTCACCTCAGAGCTATAGAAAGAAAAAGAAAAATGAATTTAGGGCTTTTCTTATAAACTCTATAACTTTGCAAAAAAAGGTTGTGTAGAGCTGGAGTATGACTCATTTTGATCAGAATTTCGCGGGCTACAATTGTGACTTATTTAGAAAAACTTTTAGAGATTTTTCGAGGTTCCTGGAAAACCAGTTTTCCAGGAACCGGCTAGAAAAACCCTATGGGGAAAAACGGCTATCATTTGAAATCATCATGGTTGATTACCTATAACTTACTATATTTCGTTAAAAAATGCGGGGGGGGGGCATTTAGAAAGATTCCCTCGTAAGTAAAGTTATCAAATTTTAGACTATAACCTTACACATCACACGATAATATAAATCTGTGTCATATAAATATTTATATGTATGAAGATTATCTCGTTTGTTCACTTTTTAATTGCTAGGGTATTTCAATAATTATAGTATCGAAAATATTACTCTGTTTAGCGCTCTCGTGTTCAATTATTAGTGTTTTAGTAAAAATATTTATCCGTTTGTTCAACTCAGTAATAGTGTTAATAGTTAATTTCTTCGTTTTCACTTTTTGGATGTAACGTTTATTATTTTAATATGTGTTTCATTTGTATCAATTAATATCTATGTATTTATGATTCAACAAGTTTAATGATGAAAAAAAACCCAAAGATCACGAAAAATTATTATGAAACGTCTTCCAGTATCGCACCATTTTAGTGAAATGGAAACGAATGATGAACAACAAAAGTGCCTGTCTTTAATCTGATCTGATAGTGAACATGTTGACAAACAAGTTGTAAAAACAACTGAGTGTCTGTGATGTCATGGAAACAATGGATAAAATACTCAGTAAATAAATCAATTTTAACCTATAATTTTATGATGCATCACAATAGTTTTTAAACGAGAATTAAGTATCGTTACAGTTCAATTTCAATTATCACTATATAAGATAGTGTTACGCCAATGGACCAGATCAAAAGCGTTTTTAAACTGAAAAATTTTATTTTTTGAATAAGCTGCACAATAATAAATTAAAAACAAGGCAAAATATTACTCCATCACCACCACGACTACTGTCATTAAACCAAAATCAAGTGAACTATCTTCTTCGACATTAACATTTATTTTCGGTTATAATATCAATTCTAGATCATGAGTAACATGCCATCTTGTTCCTCTATTCACTGCCAGTGATATGTCGAAAAAAATTATCAAGATCAAGAACGGCAAAATTCAAAATGGCTTTGTTATGGTTGTTATTAGCGTTGTATTAATGATAATTATTATTGTTACCCATACTATGTTGATGTTTTTTTAGTGTTAAATTTGTTGTTTTGAAAAAATCACCAATAAAAAAGACTTTTGGATTATGTTGTTGACATCAAGTGCCGGAATCAGCATCACCTGCTAGGAGAGAAGCGACGCAGTATATAGGTTTTAGTTGTTCGTGTAATATTAGTTTATTGCGATAAGTTTCAAAAATGTTTCAAAATAATAAAACCGAATGATAGCGGTAAACAAAGACGTTATAATCTGTATAATCCTAAAAAAGATGAATAAGCAATATAAAAAATAAATAAAAAATATACAAAAACAGTAAGCAACACAAAAATACAACATTAAAATAGGTTTTTCTTCTAAAATTCTCGCTTATAACGTAACAACATAATAATATATATCGCTTGTATTCTGACAGAATAAAGCTTATACTAACATATATCAAAACAAAAAGTTGATGTTTATCATCTACTGATGACTGATTTCAAAAAGTTTGTCTTCGATCGTCTTACAACATTGTTGTGTACGTGTACATTTACATTGTCGATGTCGTCGATATAATTGTTCATATTGCCACTGTTTCATTGTTGTTATATCATACATATCACCTTCACTATTGCCAATCAAATATGTTTTCGTGTATGTTTCATAATTATCATTAAAATTATATTTTTGACGATCATTAATATAAGTCATCTTTGACTGTTCACAATCGACTGATGATGACTGAAAAAACTGTGAGATAAAACTTGATAACATTTTCAGTTGTTTTGAAGCACAAAACAATGGTAAACGGCCATTTGAAATGACAAGTTGGTCATTGTTTGATAAGTTTCTAAGTGGGAGTCCAGAATGTGAATGTTTTCCATTATCAGTTTTGCTAAAAATTTCTTCCTTCAGGACCAACCACATTTTGCGAACATAATTTAATAGAATTGGATATTGACTATATGTATTCTGTTTTGTTATGCATTCACCGTGTTTAATTGCTTCATCTAATACATCTTCGAAATCTGATATGTTCTGATTAATGAAATGTAATTTTCTGCTATCATCATTTGTCAAATGAGTCAATGGAACGGTGGATGTAGTATCCAGTGGAAATAAACATGATGGCAATAGACCAGCCAAACAGGTATACCAACCTTGACCAATCAGCTGTATCAACGATCGATATCTATTATTATCATCACCAGCCACTTGAAGAAAATTTTCACATAAAAGTATGAACGAATCAATAGCATGTAATCGACGAAAAGCACGAACATAATCTACCGGATTTCGTTCTAAATCCCAATCAGATGATGATAATATTACAGATAGTGCCCGAAAATTATTTTCAATCACTTCCACTTCACCTAAAATTTCAAATGAGAAATCATAAAATATGTATCAAATGATTTAGGTTTGTTGGCGAAAATTACCGTTGCTAAGAAACTCATAGCCCAAACAGTTAATGGGTATGCGTTTGCATACTTCTCTAATTGAACAAGATAGCCAATAATTGAGATCATCGTCGGCATTAGAGTTAGTTGTGCTTGATGACAAAGATGAAAATATTGACGATGAGTCGGATATGAGAGACGTTGGTGGTGGAGAAGGTGAGGGTAGCGTGCTACGATGAAAACGTTTTCGAGCAAATGTTTCATCTTTATCACCACTTATCAAATTTTCCTGATGAGGTTCAGGCAAACACCGTTGTTGTTGTTGTTGTTGTTGCTGAATTTGTGCCGATTGTTGATTGAGATTTTTTCGAGATCGATGTGGCATTGAAATATAAGGAGCAGCACGAGCAATCGGTTTCTTGCTTTGTTTAGGCATTATTGTGCACAATCTAAAACGCAAATATAAATCACCAGTTTTTTTGCTGCTTTTATCATTAGCAAGCGTGACAGAAATAGTCTTATAATCTGCTAAATGTTTGGTAGATGTATCAAATAAAAGAAATGGGATAAATAAGAAAAAAGGAAAGATACAATAAATAAAGGATCACATTTTCGTAGCCAGTATTGTATGATAACGTATATGTACTCTTTAGGATATGGAAAATAATTATATATGTTTCTGTTGATTCGAAAACGGAATACTCTGTGACAAAACTGTCTACACTCCGTCATATTTGAACAATTTTGTTAGATCATTCTAGACACTGTTAAGCATTCGTGTTGATTTTCATATATTGACATACATAACACGCAAAGTGCGTGATGTGATGAATATTATGACTGTTGCTACTCATGAACTTAGTAAGTTCGATGAGACCTTTTTTCTAGTACTGTACTTGCTATTCCGTCCTTATTAGGTATTTTTTATTCTCTTTTCGCATGGAAACTGCTAGTAACTGGAGGTAGCACCGAAGCCGTTTTTTTATGGCTTCCACTAGGTGTTTTGAAGAACTGCCTGCTCAAAATAATCTATAAAATAATAAATAGATATCATTGGAAGAATATCCTGTCTTGCATTTGCCGTTGACGATGCGGCCCCACAGTGTGTTGATGCAATCATTTCCAGTAGTCTGATATTCTCCCTGCAGTTATTTGGTGAATGTTTCATATAAAATACCTATAATAGTCACTTCGAAGAATAAGTATACGTAGTGCAGAGTATAAATTGAAACTCATTCAAGTTTACTTCTTCCTAGTGCTTTCATCGTGTGAACCGGATGTTTTTCCATCGAAAAGAGTGACGAAACCTTGCCTCCTTCTTTCGTATTAAATCGTCGAAAATAGATTTTTGTTAAATATTTATATCTAAGATGTCTATCATGTACAAGAGGAAGTGAATAGAAAACTTTATATTCCACCTGGTATGTTCCCATGCAAATGAAATTAAAAATGAGAAAACAAAAGTTTAGTCAGACTTTATTTGAAATTTAAAACGCCTTTTGACGATTTATATTGTCTACTCTGATGCGAATTAGAGAGACGCTCTTTTATTCGAGACGCGAAGAAGTTGCAACTTTTCACCAATCACAGATTATTTAATGTAACTCGCTTAAGCATTTAAAGACGGAATGGACAATGACATTTTCAAGATAGACAGGAAATAGACCGATGGAGTACAACTTTTGCAGATATTAAAGGGTGTATAGTAATCTAGATTCACAACTAGTTACCGGCGACATCTGTCACACACGTTCAGCTTTCCCTATAATAGCGTGACGAGCCGAAGCATAAGTTGGAAAATAAAATGTTGCGTAATGAATACTGTTCATTTTTTGCACTGTTCGCTGATTTTCAATCTATCCTCTTTTTCTGTCAGCTTTTCTTGTTCTCTGATAGTCTTTCAGAAAACCCTACAAACATCTGGAAAGTCAAACGAAATTATTGCAAAAGCAGAAAAAGCTATGACGTTGGTCTTTATGTATGATGCTATTTCTGTTACTTTGCGAGGATAGATAGAAGCGCTGATTGAGATCATTGGATAGTAATAATTATACTAACTCTCTAGGAAGATATGGATATCAGCTAAGTGAGTAATCACTTTTTGCTGTTTATCCATTCTTGACTTTGTCTACGAACATTTTATATTGCTGTTTATATACAGTGTCTATCACAACAGTTAAGATGCGTTTAAAGCAAGCCTGATTCCTAACTTGTATTAATCGTGGAGCAGAGCCGCGTGTGGACTGTACTTGAACGTTTGAGATCATGGACTAGTTTGGACTCCAAACATTTTTTAAAATGGACTGCGTCGAGAAGAAAAATAAGAAACGTGTTGTTTTTGTATTACGAAAAACGGTTGCAGCTCTGAAGTTCATGATGAGTCATAAACGAGCGCGTGCGTATAAACGTCTTCTTTCACATGCATAAGATCAAGTAATTTAAAAACCAAGTAGATATAAGTAATTTTTCATTGCAAGCAGTCTAAAATTTTTGGGTCTGCGACCGAATAGGTTGATTTATGTCTCTTTCCTCGATCGGGACTGGTCCAAGCCGGTACCGATTACAACTACCCTAGGGAATGTACTTGAGCCAAGTACTTGCGCAACTACTTAGGACATAAGTAATGAGGGCAGTATTCGTGTAATGTTCCAAGTACATTTACTTCCCTAGAGAATGTCCAGTTTGTCTGGTCTTGAAAACAGAGTGAAGATTTATTTACTTACAGATGTCTGTTTCCGGTCTTTTTTCTTGTTCTGGTCAGTTCCAAGATCAGAACAAGAAACTGATACGACCAGATTAAGATAGTCTGTTTTTTCTACTGATCAGACAAACAATAAATCTTCGTCTGATCTTGACTTTTTTTGTCTGATCTTAGTGTTTTCTGAGAAACATTCACAGGTCAGGTTCAAGACCAGAGCTAGGTTTTTGTTTTTTCATAATCACCATTTTGCTTTGCTAAGTCACGTAATATATAGTGACCACTAATTCTTCGAAAACTTTCAAAGTTATTCTCATAGGTGATGTGATGAGTAATGTCTTAGAGATTTCTGTGCTGAACAAGAGATATCTAATGTCATTCCGAGTCTGATAGTTACATTGGAAGTAAAATGTAAGTACTTGGCTCATAAAGTGCAATTAAATTTACTTTAAAAGCTTCAATCAAATACGTATTCCATTTATCTTCATTTTGTATTCTGTACGTATTTTGCAGCCATACTCTACTTTTGTAGAGTAAATACATGTACGAGTACTAAGTTTGTTCAACTCAGTAGAAATATATAGATTTATTTTATAAGCATATAACGGCTGAAATTGTGGGGATTTATATACAAGCGGTCAATGCAAAAGAAAAGGGTGACTGGCTCATTCAAGTACCTGGCTGAAGCAAGTCAAGTAACGGCACTTGACAAGTTCTTGATCAAGTACTTGCCAAGTGCTTAACTTGTCACGCACTTCCCAAGTACTCAACAAGTAATTAGGAACTGGTACCAAGTACATAACGGAAAATTCTCTGCAAAGAAATCTGAATCAGATCTGCAACAGAAACCGGCAAATTCACTGTAGAATGTAGACAAGATTTGTAACGGAATCTGTGCAAAATCTGTACAGAGCTGTCATAGATTGTTACAAAATATGAACAGATTCTGAACAAATCATTATTATGGCTCTGTTCTCTTGTGTAATTAGTTCCAATTTGATAATTGCTGTCTCGCGATAAGTCACTTCAAAGTTTTCCGACAAGGATGCAAGCGACCTCTAAGACTAGCATCAGTCTTAAAACTGGAGCCCGCAGAATTCACTTGCAAGATTCATCGTGGAATGAATTGAACTCTCACTTTCCAGTTCATGGACTGGAAAATTTCTTTTCAATGGATCCGGTTGATCTGGACTAGTTTACAAAGTTTGAATCTACGAACTGGACTGGACGTGCAGTTTTAGATATATACGACGCTCCGTTGTAGAGCCGGGTACTATAATCAACTCAATTTTAATATGTTTTACATTGATTGTAATAATTTACGCCTTCGTAAATGTTACTCTGGACGTTGATCGACCGTTAAAACAACTTTTTGCCGTTCCGGGTTATCTAGGATCATAATTATACCCTAAAACCACATAGCATTGTTAATTTTCTGATTCATATTTCAATTTTACTGTTTGTATATGAGTTAGTTATATTAATAAAAATCAATCACAAAATGTTTTTATTGTTAAAAAGTGTTATATTTTAATCGAGTGAGAATAAAAAGAAACAGAACAAATGTCAGTTTTTACAAAAAGATATGTAGTTTTTTTAGAAAGAACATTTTCTTAACTAAACAGCTCGACAAAAAGCTAGTATTTTTTTCTCGATCATTCTGGTAACCTCTAGTAATTTGTACGTCTTTTGATTTATTTTCCAACGATAGATAAGAATTTCAAATATTCTTTTTCTACAATAACTTATATTTTTGACCATATATTTAAAAGTATCATTTTTCCGTTTATGTAACGTACTGAGTTTATGCGAGAACAGTATTAACTTTCTCGAACAAATTTATTGATATCCGATGTTTGATACGTTTATTAAAAACTTATTAAAATATATCAGTGAAAAGGCTTCAATTTCTAATTTGAATTTGTAATATGTCGAATATCTTTCACTTATCTAAATTGAGTCGTGGTTTTGGTGAATTGAAAGAGGGACGAAACGCAATTGAAATCTTTTCTGATCCAAAAGTTAGTATATACTAATAAGTAACATCACTCTGATAATGAGATTTTTATGTCAAATCATAAGGATCAAACCACCTTTATCATGAATTCGTATGAATCATCCCATTTACCTCGAACCTATTCAACCAGGTATTTATTGGCATGTTTTATTAGTGTTTTCTCAGAATGTCTTGAATTTTGTTTCATAGGCGAGGACCATTGTTATTATTCGCTGAAGATTTTATAAAACCAAAATCTGACGAAAATAGCGTCATTTCATCAGCACCAATGAAATTAGATGAACTAAAAAAAGGTATATTGGCGTATAGTAGTGATGATGTGGTAAGATTCTCAAACTGTACTATTCTGCCATTTATTTGAAAATGATCTTTAAAAAATCTTTTTTTAGAATGATTGTATAAAAAATCACATTAGTTCAATTATGTCTGATGAAAGTACTGTGTTGACGAGATTTTTGAAAAAACGAGAGGCAAAACATGTAACTTCCGCTACGCAACATTGTGTTTTGAGACGAGATGACGATGAAAGAGATTATGAATGTAGGTATATTTAGGTCTATTCTTTGCTTGTTACTGTAATAGACGTCATTCAAAAATATTTTATTGGCCAAGGAAGTGGTCGAAGTCGATTCATTTCTTTATTAAAAGTTTTAAATATGAAATTATATTTTAAGGTAAAAATTTTCTTTGATATTACTAGCTACATATAATTCGAATTACACTAGAATGTCAGATAATTATCAACTCTCTGCTAAAAAGCATATTTTAAGTGATGAAATATCGTTGATTCCGCCGGTAAGTACAACTGAATTGTACTTGGTTTTATAATTCTGCAAACAATGAAAATTTAGATTTACCGAAGTCTAAATGTGAAAGAAAATTCGATTATGACTGATACGTACAGATTTTATGATGTAGAAAATACTATTTTACTCAATGGTAAATGAGTAAAAAAGTTTTATACTGCTGTGATCAGTAAACGTCTTTATTTTATTTATAGATGCAAATAATAGTGAACAAGCTCAAAACAAAGATTCGGATAAAATAAAAGTATAACTCTATTGAAAACGGATTAACAGTGAATATAATACGAGAGACTTTCCTGATAGGTTGTCAATAGTAAAGGTAGTCAGTTATCGTACAAAAGTTTACCTCAGTCAGAAAAAGAAAATATTCTTGCCGATTTATTAGTTCAATCTGCATTACATAGCATATCCGAACAAAATGTGGTAGGATATGAGTTTAATAATACCAACACATACCTCATGCCTTATTTTTTTCATCTAGGAAATATTCGAAGATGCTTTATATAGAGTAAAAGATGTCGAAGTCATGAATGATCCTATTGCTTCAACAACTGTACCTGATTTAAATCTATTGAATACAGATATTGTACTCGAATCTCCTCAAGTAACTCTCTGTAGGATTGGTATTCCCTTTCTTATCCTCATTCTGTCTTTAGATAAAAGATTCTATTATTGGATCTGATATTATTTTTCCTAATAATGAATCTGCATCTCAACCACTCCCACACATGTTTGGTAAAATGCAAGGTACAAGATGGGTGAGAAAACCAAATAAACGGTGTAAGTTAATATTATAAGTTGATGAGATGGTTAGAAAGTTTTTTTGTATTATATTCCAGTAAATCCGATCGTGTTGAATGAAGAACAGACAATGATGGCTGATAATATTCAAACAGAAAATAGTAAAGTGTTAACTACTCAACTGACAAATACAAGCAGTGAAATAGTTACATCGAACAGTATGATCGTATATTTTCAGAGTGATGAATATTTAATATTTACTATCTAATTTTGTTTTTGTGAAAGTTGTTGGACCAGTACGATCACTTAGTTCTACATTCAGTTCTGAAGATCAGTTTCAATTTTCACACCAACTAAAACCAAAAATGCATAGTGAATCTGGGCGTCAAGATAATTCGGGTGACATCTCATCATTAACACTCAACAAAACGAATTTATTATTGAAAGTCAAAAAGTCAAAAATGAACCACACTGTCATATCAACAGAGCGTGAAAAAATAAATACTAAATTTGATAATTATACAAAATCAGTAAAAAAACTTTCAGTCAATTTAACAAAACATTATTCGTGTAAGTATGTTTTACTAACTGAAAGAATTTAGTTTTCACATTTTCATTTAATTGATCAAGCATTCGAAAAACAACAATCAGATGTTCAGCGACAAAAATCATCTAAAAGTTTATATCATCTATCGCATCAGGACACAGTGAAGACGTTTGCTTCAGATCTATGCGTTATGTCATCGTTAAATCATAAAGGTATGTCAAATGATACTATTTTTTACAAGGTTCGTATAGAATATGATTTTTTATCCAACACACAGAACGTTTACAAATGGTCGGATCATCTGGTCAGAATAGACAAGAAAGTATGGCCGTTAATGAATATCAATCAGGCATCTCTGATACGGAAACTGAGCTTAGTAAGTGTCTAACAAAAAAAGCTTATCAGCATGGCCTCTGTCGTACGGTCACATGAGGACGTTCTGAAGTAGAGGAAGAGAGAGATAAAAATTAGCGAAACCGCGAAGGATTTGAGTATAAAATTGAAACTCCTCTTCAAATCAGAAGGTGGAGGAGTTACAAAAAATTAGTGTAAATGATATTTGTTTGTTTTAGAAGCAACTTTTCATCCATGGGAAATTAACATCGATACAATGGAAGAGGATCGTTCTTCAAATGCTAGTATGTTAGATAATTTATTCATTTGTCTTTGTTAATCATTTATCTAATTTTCAGATATTATACAAATGGGACAATATACCCATCGAACACAAAAATTTGTTAGATTGAAAAGAACTATACCAGGAGTGTTGCTCATAGCACCAGGCGGTCAAATTTTAACAGTCGGTCAATCAATACAATCAGAAAGTAAATTTGAGAGAAACATCCTGATGTATCTTTAAAACTTTGGATTTTTTTCAGTTGATGATGACGCCGAAGTTCTTAATAATCCATTTCCTAAGCAACAACAGGCTGTTTCAAAAATAAAACATAATAATGCACCAACTATACCCAGCATTATTGGCGGGAAACGAGAAAGATTACCGGATGAAACAATGATACGAAGAAGTATGTTATGTTACTCTTATACATTTGATATTTCGGTAGCGATAAGCATATTTTATTATAGCAATGAATTTTGAAAATGGCGATTTCAATAGTCAAAGTGGAATTTATACATGGAGTTACGATATTCCTATTCAAGAAAGAAAACCACCACAGGAGTATATTTCCATACCAACTCCACCACCACTGGGACTCTCAGCATTTTCCGGAAAAAAACGTGCGTTTAACTTCCATACAAAAATATTGAATTTGAATTGATATATGCACGTTTTTTCTAGATCATCATGTAAAACGAAACGTTGAACATATACATGATTCTGGTTCGTATAATGTGAGTTTATAAAAGTGATATTGAATATGCAATTAAATTCTTTCTACAGCTATTCGTCATTCAACATTACTGATGCATAATGAAACTGGAATTGAGACAAATCATCATATTTTACAAATGCCACCTCAATGCGTCATGGAATCAACTGCTGTATCACGTATGCTTCAATTTCAATGCCAGTGCTCACTTAACTGACTTTAAATCTTTTCTCTCTGTTTACAGCAGCACGATCTCTATCTTTATTTACAACATGGGGCTATCAACGACAAAGCACTCATCCCGTAATGAAACAACCCTATTTATTCAAATTGAATCATGTACCTAAAGGAATAAAAGGAACAAAACGTACGTTTATACAAACAATAACTGAATATTATAAATCTATTATTAAGATTATGTTTTAGATTCAGCATTAGAAAACGAAACATTTATTCGAAGAAGTATTATCTAACTATGGAACAAATTAAAAAGCTGTGATGTCTAATAATTGATTATTTTTGTATAGCATTGGATGTTCACGGAGGAGACATAGATGCCTCATTGAGTTATACAATTTGGGTGTATGATATGTGGATTAATAATTTGATTAAACGTGGTGTAGATATTTACTATATCAAAAAAATAAAAAAACTTCTCGATTTATTCAAAGGAAGAAAATGTAAGTAATAATGCAAAGACGACAGCTTAGTTAATACATTCTAACAAAGTTTCTCTTATATCGAACATTTGAAACAAGACATAAAAACAAGTATTTTTCCTATTATTTTTTTTCCAGTGGATATACAAGATAAACATTTTTTCTCAGCATTAGCTAAACATGCCCAAACACTTGCGAAAATTATTTTAAAGCGAACAGATTCCGGACATCATTTGATCGAAGATGCACAGGTATAAAATTGCACTCTCATTCTTTGCTTATTTTTAGTATTTATTGTCTATTTTTCTAGCATGCTATTATTGAAAATTTACAAAATTTAAAACAATTGTTAGATAAAGTATTGAAGACTTTAACAGTAGATGAATATAAAGAAATTTTGAAAGACACATTAACTTATGTTTGTATGTAGAAATTAATCATGCTTAAATTCGTAGTATTTTATTCTTTTTTGCTTCTAGTAAGTCGTAGTAATTTAAATAATTTAGCAACTAATGATGAATTATTTATGCAATTGATGGATTATCCAGCAGATGCTTTCGAAATTTACATTGATGAACGAAGTGGAAAAGAAATTATTCGTTTAAAGGGTGTTTTTCGAGAGAAAAAATTAAGCGTCAAAACATCAAAAACAGTAAAAAAGGAAACAAAAAGTTAGTTTTGTCCATTTTCTATGCGCTCTCAGGAAGGATGCCGTAGTACGTCAAATAAGAAACATTCTACAGACGAAAGCCAAATGATTCTTTCCTTTGCAATTTTCTGGATGTCATATCTGTCTATAACTTAGTGTCAATCTATTCTTTAGCGGTGATTATCTCCGAAGAATTATCGGTCGATGATTTTGAAGAAGTTGTAGATGACATTACGGGAGAAAAAAATTTTCGTTTAAAAAAAGAAGTGGTTGAACAAAAAAGATTAAACAATTTAATGAATGCAAATTTTGATATTGCTATCGACAAAGAAAGCGGAAAAAAAATTGTAAAACTGAAAGCCGGTGTCGATGGTGCGAAAGGTAACTTCATCATTTTGAAAACTAGGAGTTTATTCTGTTTCATTAGTTCTTCCGTTACTCTTCTTCATACACGAAAAAAAGAATCATGAAGCGGGCGCTCGCAGCTAGCTAACCCAATTTTTAGCCCACTGCAGCTAGTCTTAAGCGGTTGTAGCTAGCTGATACCAATTAATCGGCCAATTAAGCGAACACTGCAGCGCTGCTTACAGCTAGCAGTGGACATTTACTCAGTTGCAGCTAAAAATCTACTCTTAAGCGAACGCATAAGCTAGTTTTTCAGCTAGATTTTCTTGCTTACTCATTTCTGCTTGGATCACGATCTCGCTGTTTAATGTGTCAGATAAAGATTCCATCGATTTTATTGTTCATAAAAGATTAAATTATCGGGTACATGACAGTAGTTTGATGAGATCACGGAGTCATTTGACAGAAGTTGTGTCACGATCAGAGAACGGCACGGGCCGAGGACTTCTCTTTCTTTCCGAGACCATATAGTTACATACATCAATAAAATCATTATATTTAGTAGTATAAACACGTTCGTGATGTATATTATAATATTTCTTGTTTTAATACGTACCTGGATAAACAGATTATCTAGTACATACAAAGATTGGGAAAAAATCATGGAAATTTAAATGCTGGAGTTGTGTTAGAAGCAAATTTATAGCAATTTGCCAATCATGCCTATTATCGTTAAAGACGCAAGAGACTGTAAATAACTGGAAAGGCCGACCGAGCCAGAAATTTTGATCTGTGCCGATCTCTGGGCACGACAACATCTTCACTTTACGAATTTAACGATGTCTTACCTGTTGTTTTTGATATATGACACAAATCACTGAGAACTACTGATTGTTGAATAGTTGTTGCTGGTGATGGCTACTGTATTTTAAGTTATTCTATTCAGCACTTTGCATCTACTGAGAACTTAGTACTGAGTTTAAGACATTTGAACAGGTACCCTGCTACCGTCAATATCACAAGTATCCGAGAAGTCTTTGAGTGCCCGTTCAACTACCCTGGTGAAGTATTTTGGTATTTGAGCACCTAAAAGTACTTATTAGATACGTAATGTACATCGGTATTTTGGTGAAACCTTTTTTTAGTAATTGAGCACTTAATCGGTATATAGGCAGATATATAGTCAACATTTTTACTGATATTGGTACTCATGAAAGTGCGCTGTGAATAAATAACTTGGAAAAATTACGTCAGTACCCACCCATATTAGTGCTTTGCAGAGATTTATCTAATATTCGAGTATATTTGAGTCTGTAGATTCACTAGAGAAACTATCATTTTCTTTTTCAACTAATTGACGTACCAGTTGTTTATGGTCTTGTTAATTTTTTCTACACAGATTTGAATTATCAGCGTTATTCGTACTGTTGGGATAAGTAGTTTCTATGAAATAAGAAAAAGTAGAATGACTCTAATCTTTTAGTAAGAAATAAAAAATTACATTATCGAAAAAAAGTCTATCCTGTTTCAGTTACCATCTTGAATTTTGTTAGTCGTATACAATTAAGATTTCTTATTGGCTTTAGTCGAATTTGTGATCGATGAAAATGCAAAACAAATTCTCATGATGTCAAGAGAGATTGCGAAAACACGTAAGTTAGGTTACATACTGATAACTTAAAAGTCTGCTTTGTAACACTATGTAGATATAACATCCAAAACTTTTTAACATTTAGCTTCTGTAATTGAATCGGAAATTACAATGGATGATTTTCACTTAATGATAGACGCGAACGGTGAAGCTGTGCTGCGAATGAAAGTAGACGTAACATTGAAAAAAGGTTTAACTGGTTTAGAAGAGACAAATTTTGAAATTTTTATTGACGAAAAAACTGGCAAGCAATCGATTCGCGTCAAAGATGATTATCATAGTAAACAGAGTAAATTAATAAAGAATGCTTTTTTGAAGCAACATTTACTCGGTTCTAGGTAGTGGAATTGAAATCGTTACGGATATAATTACAGGAAAACAGAAAATTATCAAACGAACCATTATGGATTTTGAGCGTATGCGATACTAATCATGTTACTCTATACTATTAGACTAATCCTGTGCATTTAGCTGATATAGATGTTGTCGAGAGCCAGTTAGATCAGGATGATTTTGAACAAGTAGTGAACGAGAACACTGGAGAAGTAGTGTTAAAATTAAAAAGTCTTGCTGCGGCTAGAAAGGGATTAACAGATTTATTAAATGTCGAATTCCAAATGATTTTTGATGAAAAAACGCAACAACAAAAAATTATTGTAAAAGGGGGATCAAGTGAAGGTGTATGTGGTAAGTATTTGTTTCAGTTTTAAAATCAAATTTGAACGAATGTCTTCGCGAATAGGTTATATGTATTCTTCTTTAGATACTGCACAGTTTGAGCTCATCACTAATGCAAGTGGAAAAACTACTATCAAAGTAAAAAAAGAACGATCACCATCGCGTAAGTGTAGTTGAACTTTATTATAACATTGTTTTTTATTTGAGCTGTATTGACTATACAGCCGATCTTGACGTAACCGAAAAAATAATTGACATTAATGATTTTGATGTTATTATCGATGAAACTGGAAAGACAGTTTTGAAACTGAAAGTGGATGTTGTTAAACAGTTTGGAATGATGGAATTGTTAGAAGCCAAATTTGAAACATATATCGATTCTAAAACGGGAAAAAAATCCATCCGAGTTCATGGAAATGAAATTTTTGATCAAAATGGTAACTTATGCTTCGAGAGTCGCCTCTAATTATAAAAAAATTTTCTTTTTTTTATATGTTAAATTTACTATTGAGACCGATGCTACAGGAAAACAAGTCTTGAGAATGATACAAGAAATGCAGAAGCAAAGTATGTGAACAGAAAATAGAAAACTTCTGATAATACGTTTTTTTCGTTATTCGTTTGGATGTATATAGCTCCACTAATAGAAAAGTCAATAACCATGAATGATTTTGAAAAAGTCATCGATCCTACAACTGGAAAAGAATATTATCGTTTAACGGATGAAGCAGCCAGATTGAAAGGTGAGTCCTTTAGACTATACTGAATAGCTATCGTTCGAATTCTCGTTCAAAGGCTTGACAAATTTGAGAAACATGCAGTTTGATATAGAAAACGATCCTATTAGTGGTCAATCATCAGTGAAAGTCAAAACCACTACAGGTAGAAAATATCACCAAAATAAATACTAGGGAAACTGTATACCGTTCAATTTGCAGCTGATGGTCAAAATGTAGAGATCATTGTCGATCCGAGCACAGGCGAGCAAATACTTCGGGTTGTTCAACTATCGTCAGTTTTGAGTGAAAAGAGTAATCGATCTCTTAAAAATTTTCATGGCTAAATAGTAAGTTATACTTATTTTTAGTTGTAAACGTGAAAATTGATTTGGACGCTGATGGGTTTATTCTCTATTGGGACCCAATAACCGGAGAAGAGCAATACGAATTAGATGATGATCTGTCAGAAAGTGATAGTCGTGAAAATGTTGAATTTGGACCTGTAATTCATTCAAATATTGGCAAAAAAGCCTTCCGTATGAGACAAATATTGAGTGAGGATAGAAAAGTACATAAATTTGCACAAGGGCTAACAAGGAGGAACCAACGTTTTCAAGTGAAAAAAGCACTCTCAAATGAAGAAATTGTTGCTCGTCAAGAAAGTATGTCAGAATAAAATGTTAAAGTTACCGATTAATTAGTACATGCTCTAACATTCTATTTGTAGCTCGGAAAGGAAAGGTTAGTTTTGAATCTTACACGCTCCAGGTGTTACTCACGAAAACTTAACTCTTGCACTAAACACTTAAATATTCTTAACCTTATTCTACATAATGCGATCTCTTCATAGGAAGGACCAAGACGTCCAGATCAAACAGCTAGTGCAGTTAAAATAGGTAAAATTTTAAATTATAATGTCTGAATCTGTTGAAATTTGTGACCTTTGATAGGAGATTATAGTGATCAGAAAGAAGTGTTTAAAATAGGAATGTCTAAACAAATGAGACAGAAGCCGGTATGTTTTTTGAAAAGTAAGACGTCATGTCTATAGAGTTTTTCTTATTATAAAGGGTATAACGAGTTCACCTGACGAATTCGGTGAATCCACTCCTTCACCAATAGAACAACAAGATGAAACAAGAGATGTTCGTAGAGACCGCCCGTTGGAACTAAAAAGTGATTCAGACAAAGTATCTGGAATTGAATGGACTTCAAACGATGTAAGTTATTCGTTAATTCTTTATCAGAAGTGGCAGATGTGCTTTATTTCAACTGTAGGAAAGAAAACTGGACAGACTGAGTGCCTATAAACAACGAAAACGAAAAGAACAAATACTTGTAGAGAAAAAACGAGAGATGGCTGAAATGAAACGACAGTTAGAATTAGATCGAAAAAAACGACTCAAAAATGTTGAGAATGACAATGACGAAAAGTACTCAGATGACCAAGATAAAGCATACTCGGACAGTCGAGACGAAACGAATGATGTGAATCTCGAGTAGGTGAAATCATTACCATAAACTAAGAGAGAGCCTACGGGGCTGTTGAAAAAGTCTGTGTGAATCTGGTCCTACAATTAAGATTAGAAAAAAAATTCTCTTATGTCCACATATTTTTAAAAAACGGTTCCACACACCAAGTACTTTCTGTTGATTTCTAAAACTTTTGAAAACTGGAATCCACAGTATACGATAGATAAATAGGAGCATATGTTGACATTTTGGTGCAGCTCGAATCAATTTTTTGGGGAGTCCATAACAGCCCTAGAATTTCTAGAGGAGTACATTATGCAAGGTGCATAAAAATAGATTTTTGTACAGCAGCAGTCATTTATTTAATAATTTAAATTTATCTTGACGTTTCGACTTTCCATTAAGTCATTTTCATTGAGTCAGTGGAGAAAATGAGTCGAAACCTCAAGATAAATTTAAATTATTAAATAAATGACTGCTGCTGTACAAAAATCTATTTTTATTCAACTATTGACTCTAGATCGTAACAAGGTCATGAAATATGCTCTTTCTATTCCGTCTCAGCGAGAGTTGGATGAATACAATAAAAAGTCAGAAGAAGGCATGCTACTGGGTTTTTGAACGTTCTTATTTTTTCCTGCTTCCAGAAAACTGTTTATTTACCTCTGTTATACATTGTCACGAGACTCAGCATAGTCAGAAACCTATGTGTGGAGTTGTTTTAAGATTATCAGAACTAACCATGGTGGACGAAAACTTGGGGCTTGTGTAGTTTTGTAAAGCAAAACCAGGTTGAGAGAGAGAGAAGGAAAGCAAAAAAATAAGAACGCACCCTCACCCTACACAGTTGCTGAAATTGAATACTAAAACTGAATTTTAAAGCATTAATTTTACATTTGCACTACATTATCCAAAAGTAAACTTGAGGTGTTTGATTCCTCATCTTGTGCACTACTAAAGTGTGTTCTATCCCTACTACTTAACCATACAACTTATAATCATTATAAGGTGGTTCGAACGCACGTTTCGGCATTCGAAACTTTTTCAGTAGAGAGGAATCTTACATAAAAAGTATTGATAAGACATATCATCTGTGGATGGTAGTTTATTTTTATTTAGTCTAAAACATAAATAATCTTCTCGCACTCCTTAACATTTGAACTGTAGGGAAAAACATTTGCCTAATCTCGATGAACATCGAGAGGAAGCGAAAGATGTCAAATATGAAGCCAAACAAAAACAATTATCTGTCGGTCGTACTAAATTTATCAGAACTACGTATGGAAAAAGAGTTGAACGTTTGGAAAAAAAAGATGAATCAAATGAATCAGATGCTAGTAGTAAGTATTTAGCTATATACACCGGATCGTTGTTGTTTTGTCATTATGTTTGTCTCGAACTTTAGCATTTGAGGAAGAACAACATTTAATCGGTGATCAAATTCGAGTAGATGAGCAAGATATGTTTAAAATGATAAGCGAAGAAGAACGTGAAGATTATTACCGAAAACAAAATGAAGAAAGAGTACGTCAACATCAACAAAATGAACTTGAACGACAAAAACGTGAAGATATATTGAAAGCTGCACTACAAGAAATAAAAGAACGAGCAAATGCAAAGGCAGCTGAATTAATTGCAATTGAACTTCAAAAACGTTCATTGGCAGAAAATTATGCCGATTTAAAAAATTTAACAATAGAACAACATATTTCACGAGCATTCACATATTCATATTTTTCATTGATGAATATTTCGAAAAAAAACGCTAACAAATAAGAATAAAATATTTTCTTTTAATAATGCGCTTCTTTTTTCTGTCTACATAGTCTGGGGTAGCGTAAAAAAGGTGATATCCACAAAAACATCTCACGAGTGGATATTTGCACGTGATTCAATCATAGACTTTTACGGCTTATTTTTAATGCTGATATCGTTGTTTAGAAATTGATTCGCTGTAGATCCTTTCCACATTTCCAGATAAAAGTGTTTCTTCTATGACCGGTTGTAGATGACATCGAGCTATATATGGGAGAAAAAGACAGTTTAGCTTCTCTGCTTCGAAGGCCTTATTTCTCCATAATTCTTTGTTAGTGGAAATCTTTTTGATAGTTGGACGCTGTTTCTAGGCTTGATGGAAAAAAGTTCTTGGAAACAAACATCGATTTCTCGTTTGTAAAATTTACTGACAGAACTTAGCACTGCGCCCCAGGTGGAGGTTGACCTCCTGGCCAGATGGTCAACCTTGAGCGAAAATCTTGACCAAATCTTACAAGCTTTTCCAAGATTCTTGACGAATCTGTCAAGATCTTGGGCAGATTTCTTGGGCATATGACTACGTCAACATTGTTGATACTGTTCAGGTTGAATGATCACATATCAACTTGTCCTGTTCATTCATGACTGGAAGGATCTTTCAAACAGATTCAGACGCCTCCAAATAAGAACATTAAAAGCGAAAATTTGAGTGCTAATCTTGAAACTAAAGCAGTCATTTGATGCCTCTACTTGTTGCATAAGAAGGTATGCCTCATTAAGAACTTGGCAAACAACACTAGCCCGGGTTCCGACATAATACGGCATTGTTCTGGTGGGATTTTATCGGATTCCGGCGTGTTCCGGCGTCGGATGATCTCGGATCTTTCAGGAACTTGTCTTCGGAATCACTGGCCTGGGTACTATCTAAACCATAGAGAAGATGCCTAGGTCGCAACTTTTTGTTTTCTGTTCCAGATGTATTTCGTTTCACTTTTGCTATACACAAAACTGCAAAAACAAGTGTCAGTTTCACTAATGAATAGAATGTAATAATCACTCAGAGTTGGTCTTGAAAAGCTGAACAAGCGTTTCTTCAGAAGTTTTCAGAAACTTTAAAAAATAACCAAAACATTTTTAAATAAGATATAATTGTAGCGCACACATTTCTGATTAAAATGAGACATTCCCCAGCTCTACATGACGTTTATTTGCAAAGTTATAGAATTTACAAGAAAAGCCCTAAATGTTCATTGTCGGCTCAAAGCTACAGAAATAAGAAGAAATTAATTCAGGGCTTTTCTTGTAAATTCTATAACTTTGCAAATAAACGTCATGTAGAGCTGGGGAATGTCTCATTTTAATCAGAAATGTTCGCGCTACAATTATATCTTATTTAAAAATGTTTTGGTTATTTTTTAAAGTTTCTGAAAAACTGGTTTTCTAGAAAACTGGGTCTTCAAGAAACATTGGGAAAAATGCTTTATGCCACTAGAATCAGCTCGTCGAGCTCTATCGATTGGGGTACCTCTCGTTAGCATCTGTGATTAACACTTGGGATAGTTCCCTCGTTAGAAATGCCAAGAGCTGGAGTTTCGAAAAACAAGAAGTTGGAATCGAGATTTTTAAAATTTCAAAAAGATATTTTCAACTCATCAACCGAGAATTTTTCCAGGGAACTGAGTGGAACTAGTTACCCTATACTCTCGAGTGAAGTTAATCCCCTCTTTTGCTTATACCTACGACCTGAAACTGCAACTAGAAAGCTTTTAAAAAGAAGTTTAAAAAAAAGCGATCTCTAGTGTTTGAAACTTGGAGAAAGGGAGAGCGAAGCCTTAGCATCTTTCGTTTCCTCTTTGTTGAGCAATAAAACTTATTATTCGAGGTTAAAAAAATTCTTTAATCTTAAAATTAATTCAAAATAACTGAATTCAAGAAACTTGTGCAAAGCGTGAGCAAATCTTGATAAAGTTTTGTCAAGATACTTGTTTAGAAAGCTGTTAATCAAGTTTTTGTTCAAGATGGTCAAGATCAGATTCTGCTAAAATCTGCTTCAAGAACCTGATGATATTTGTTAAGCAATCTGCTGGACAAAGAATCTTGAGAGATCTGCTCACGATATAAACGGTCTTTGAGACTAGGGTTGCTTAATGAGAGGCAGATATCTTCTATAAAATTCGTCGAATGTTTCACATAAGATACTAAAATACATAGATTTTTGAAGCTCTATGGTCGTTCATTCATAAATTAGAGTATATTATTAATTTTATCACGCTTTGACTTCGTGCGCTTTATCAATATAAAGTAATGAAAACAATTCAATGCTACTGTCGTTTATAAACGGCTGTAACACGTCTTTGTGATTAACTGAACAGTAATTGCATTTTTTTTCATTTCCGAAATTTTCTACTATAATAGATCGTTTCTCTGCTAGGTTTACAAATACATTTGCGTCGGTCCCTTACGAAGAGTTTTCATTTAAAGAATAATGGCTCTGTAGTATAAACTTAGACTGCGTCAGTGGACGACCAAGAAAAGACATTTTTCCCGTCTGTTGCTACGTAATACGAACTTATTTTTTCATCCTTTTTCATATTTTCGTATAAAAAACAAAAGACAATTCTTTATTCTTTTATCATATTTTCGAAAAAACAGTTTTTGTTCAATTTAACACTACATAATGCTCTATTGTTTGGAAACACTTTGTCTGTTTTGCTTATTAACACTCTTTTTATTCATTAATTGTCGACAACCATGTAAATTTCAAGTAACAACCATTCACAATGGTACAAAAGAATGTCAATATAGACAAATATCAGTCAATAATAATATTTATAAAGTCAATTGTGCAAAGGAATTAGATACCATTGCGACTATTTCAGATCCACAAAATTTTAGTGTTGTCGGAGATTGCAAAGTTAGTGAATTATATTTAAAGTTCAGTTATATACAACGATTTAGTGTTTTTCTTGAACGTTATAATCCTCAATTACAATTTTATTTAACGCCAAATATTAGTAAACTTTCTGTTGATATATTCAATGAGAACGATAATACACAAGGAAATTATTTTTCCTTAAATTCACAATTTATTGATAAATTAAGTCCAAATATAGATGTTTTTAACTTATCATTGATTACACAGTTTTGTAAGTAAATTAGCATAAGCAACAATATAAATTGGTTAACTTTTTCATATTTTATCATCTCTGATCGTCACGAAATGCTTTAACTGATTGAAACTTGAAATTATAATTTTTTTTCATATATTTCTCTAGGGACTGACATTGTTGATATAGATGATGTTTATCTGAACGCAGTTAGGACACCATCACAAGTATTATTACAGTATACTTGTATAAATCTGGTCCCAGAAAGCAAATACTTGAGAAGTGACCATAGAGTCTGTGTTTATCAAAAACCGAGTAGTTTTTATCCAAAATGCGAGAATGTTTTCTTTCAATCCAAAACAAAATGTACATTTAAAGTAAAAAATGTTTCATGCATACTGGAAGGAAATCATGTGCCTTATCGCTCGGTGGATTGTACAGGTATCAAAGATCCCATGGATTTTATTAGCGAACGACACTCATTGATATATAAATTACCGACTAACAGAGAATGTCAAGGAAATACTATTTTATTAGCATTTAAGACAACAACAAAATTCATGGCATTCTTTGGTAAGACGATATTAATCAATATATTTTTATAAACATGTATATTAGAACTTTAGGACAAAGACTGTTGACAAAACATTTTGATGTTACACATACTTATACAAATGGATTAGCAATTATCATTGATGAACAAGACTGGAATCTCGATTTCAACGATGACCATTTTAATATTTTAACAGCTGATGATCTTCTGGATTTGTATTCAGTCAAAATAAATTCCAAAACACAACAATCATCTTTTAAAATAAAAATTGTTGAAAATTATTTAGATATTCGACAAGGTCGTCTCAAAGAAGTGAGCATTATTGGTCCATGTACAAATGTAGAGGGCGAATCAAACATAGAAATTCTATTTAGCAGACCGGTCGCTCGAGAAGAAAAATGTCAAAATGTTCAACTAGCAAAAACAACGTTAGAGAAAGTGGAATTACTACCAACGCAATATCGTACACAATCGGTGGAGCAGGATGATGTTCGACTACCACGAAAAGAATTTCTGAGTGGAGGTAAATGATACTTGACCAGTAGTAATCATCAATTTTAAATGATTGTTCCTCAATTTTTCAGAGCAATTTATTGTTTTAAGGTGTTAAATTTGGCATTGCCGCTGCTGTTGTCTTACTTATCGCGTTTGTGGCTGGTGGCGTTCTGGTTTATTTGCTAAAGAAACGACGTCAATATCAACAACAAATGGGAAATTCTTATGCTGCATCGCTTTCGTCAATATTTGAAAGTGACTCACCAAGGAAAACGATGTCAGATAGCATTTAAAACACTCGACTATACTGGTTTTTTCAAAACGAATTGATTAAACTCTTTTTTTCTATATAAAATACATAATGGCGATAACAAGTAAATTTTGTTTTTTACCGAACGCTGCCGGTCCACTTTCACTTATCGGCACTGAAACTAACAAATGTATAAAATATCTAAAACGTAAATTACCTCATCTCTGAGGTTTGACGAGTATATGTGGACAAGCAGCGCACATAGTTAGCGCAATTAAAAAAATAATAGATGCTAAAAACATTACATAAACGAAACCAATATGAATCAGCGTGAAAATGTAAACATTTTTATGACAATAATTATGTGGATTTAATAATTCGGCTTCGAATCTTGGCATAAATACACTATATGTCCAAAACTGTCCAACAATAAACCAAGCCAATAAAAACAAATTTAAAATAGCATCTGTGAAACCACTACCGTTACCAATATCTGGTTCTTCTTCTTGATCTAATTCGATACCCTCATTTTTACGCATTCGTCGTCGACGAAATTGTTTCCAAAGTAAATTTAATACACGAACAAGACCCATTGAACCCACAACAAGTAAATAAACAGGAAGATTGGGTTGTACAGGACATTCATTTAAATATTTGACACCTAGAACAATATAGATAATAAAAAATTTTTGTTAAATTAGCAAGGGAAGGTCCGTAACGGGGGAATATTTTTCGATGAGCTCTTCCAATTTCGTTCGTTTATAAGTCATGCGATGGAGTATATTGAGATAAGAGAAAGCCTAAAAGAGTTCGGATCTATGACTCTTTAAGGCCCGATTTTCTGGAAAATCAGTTTTTCGAGAAACTCTGAAAAATAACCAAAACCTTTCTTAATGAGACATAATTGTAGCCCGCAAATTTCTAATTAAAATGAGATATTTCCCAGCTCTTCGTGACCTTTCTTTACAACGTTATAGAATTTACAAGAAAAGCTCTAAATGTTCATTGTCAGCTCAAAGCTACAGCAATAAGAAGAAATTAATTTAGGACTTTTCGTGTAAATTCTGTAACTTTGTAAAGAAAGGTCGCGAAGAGCTGAAAGATAACTCATTTTAATCAGAAATCTGTGGGCTACAATTATGTCTCATTAAGAAAGGTTTTGGTTATCTTTCAGAGTTTCTCGAAAAACTGGTTTTCCAGAAAATCGGGCCTTAAAGAGTCATAGATCCGAACTCTTTTAGGCTTTCTCTTATCTCAATATACTCTATCGAATGACTTATGAACGAATGAAATCGGAAGAGTTCATCGAAAACCTTTCCCTCGTAAGTGATAAATCGCTTTTTTGCACGAAAGACATGGAGACATATGTAATCGATAGTGCTGCTTCCGAATATGGGTATTCAGGCTGTCCTTAGATCTTCTGAGATCGATTTCTGAAAAACTAGATCTATGAAAGCAAAACGCTCTAGTTCAAAGTTAATTTTGACCTTGTCAGTTTTGTAGCGCATGAATTCAAATAAGTTATAGAGAGGACAGTAAGAATTTATCCCCCCGGTGTCTCAAATACTTTATATTTATATTTGCCTCTATATTGTTTTCAATATCCTTCCAAATCCATCGACTTTCCTTACCTTTGATAACTCTGTTGGATCAAAAACTGAATTGTTTATGACGCTGTCAGATCATGTCTGATAGTCGAACACATTTACAGGCAGAAACAACTCAACATGCACTACAAAACTGACAAGGTCAAAATTAACTTTGAACTAAAGCGTTTTTCATTTATAGATCTAGTTTTTCAGAAATCGATCTCAGAAGATCTAAGGACAGTCTGAACGGCCATATTCGGAATTGGCATTATCGATTACATATATTTCCATATCTTACATGCAAAAAAGTGATTTATCACTTAGGGACTTTCCCTCGTTAAAAATAGCTTACCAATAAAGAATAAGATGACTTGAAAAACGGTTAATAATGTAAGTAGTGCCGTTGCGCCATCTACGAGATAAAAGAAAACAATTTTCAATTCAAGCGCACTAGTAAAACTTCTTATAACCAAAATCTTGACTTCTTGGATTTTTTCAGTAAGATCTTGATTCAAGATCTTGGTAAGAAAATGTACGAATACAAAAAATTTTAAGAAGTCAAGATGAACATCTTGTAATTTCTTGACTTCTTGTATCCAAGATCTTGGAAATTCATGAATCATCATTCTGTTTTAAGCTCTTGTGTAGATACAAGTGCGAATATTTTCGCACTTAGAATAACTTAGAATTTTTTCCTTCTTGGACATATCGTATCTCTGTCGTATATCTGATGGTTATGAATGTCATAAATGAAAACAAAATGTAAAGAAAATGTTTTACTTAAGACCTTGCAACATCTTGACTGAATTTGCTCAAGATCTTGAAATTTCTGTTCCTAAGCTCTTGTTCAAGGTCTTGACTTCTTGGTGTTTTTTCCAAGATCGTTTGATATCTCTTAACTCAAGACCTTGGATACAAGACGGTTCATTAGGGTGACTTTAGTGTCGCATTTTACTGCCAATCTAACTTTACGTGTGCTTTTACAGAATTGATGTTATGTTTTTTTGATAGTTAAAGTTTTAGAATACTATAATAGATTCATTTCCGTTTGAGATCTGAGAGAACGATGGTTAAATCATTTTGAACGAGTCATATGCAATTCTAGTCCTTCATTCTGTCAGCAATTTTAAAGCCAACAAAGAAAAGGATGGATTTTATCGTTTTCAAGTTGTTCCTGAAAGCTTTGTCTATCATGTGATCATCATCGAACATAAAGACTATTACAAACAAAGAGTCTATCTCTATTTTCCTATTTCCTGTGGCTGTTTAATTTCACGCTAAAGTTCTCATGTTTTTTGTACGTTTGACAGAATAGAACAGAACATATGTGTTTCAGATAATTCGCTAGTTTTAGAAAAACGTGTTTAAGTAAAAAAATTTCAGATGATGATAGCTGATTGATATGAATGCTTTATCTAATAGGTTTTCTATATTTGATGTTTACATCCGCTTAAAGTTATTATTATTAGACATATTTATTTTATTTTCTATTTCGTCAATTTTTAAACGTGACCTTTCTCGTTCTTCATCACCATATAACATAATTTTCTTTGTTTTATATACACAGTTGACAGGAAACAAAAGTAATCAAGAGACAAACAAAAGGAAAATATTCTAGATGCATTCTTTTCTCTTATTCTTTTATTTTGAATATAAATATCTATGTGTAAAAGATCTAAAAACACTGTCAATTTGTGTGCAACAAAAAGAAAGTCATTATAATTGTTCTCTTTGCAAATAGATAAATGAAGAAAAAACGCATGCACATTCAAATTTAACTGTGATTTTTTATATGTCACGTATATATTGATCCGTAATGTGTATGGGATTTGAATTAATGAAACTTTCTTTCTCTCAGATAATAAAAATATGTGAACATAACACGTCTATTAGCTGTAAAAGGTTCGATTAAAATATAAGACTGGAAGTGAAACAAACACTTACTGTTATAAATCTCTCGAGATAGATCTTCTTGATCATATGGTTTAACCTAGATGCCATATAGATAAAATAGCTATTTTTTTGATCACATAAAGATAATAATCTACTCATTTTGTGTTGATTGTTCATACGATACATCAAACGCACTTTAGTTTAGTTCAACAGAAAGAAACGCGTCTGCAAATTTTCGTGTCATGTCTTACGTTGTTACGCTAATTTATCTCGATTTCTTCCTGTTTTTCTTCTTCCGTAACATGAAGTCTTATGAAATTTTATTATTATTTTTTAAATCGGATAATATAGATATTTTGTTCACATTAATCTGTTAAGAGAACATAGTATATCAAGCCAACACTTACATGTATTTGTGACAATTGAAAATGATTTTTTAACAAATTCAGCGAGCGTCTCTGAATCTTGGATAGCTTCACCTAAACAGAAAATTAATAATTCAAATTTTTCTATTATGTATATATATAATTTTCATACCTAAACGGGCAATAACCGATACATATGGATCACTATCTTTACCATCTTCAAAAAATTCACTTGATAGTAATAGTCGCTGATCTTCTTGAGAAAGCTGAAATTAAATTAAAACATGATGATTATAATGAGAAAATTAGTTTTATAAAATATTATACTCATCACAAATTATAGTCAAATTAAAAAAGACATATTTGTATCCATCCGATCATAGTAAATCATAGCTTGTCTGAAGATAACAATATCAACAGTTTCCTATTCATTTTCAAGATAAATATGTGTAAAATCTGCTGTATTGCACAGTTCAATGAAACACAATCGTTATACACTTCTTAACTGACGCTATTTCAAGATCAATTTATAATAGAAAACTAAATTATTTTACACATTCTTATTTAAAATATTTTATTTAATAAGTGGTCTAAACAAACTATTTTTGTAATATTCAATGCTTTTTAAGCATAATTTTTTAATAATTATAATAATCATAATTTCTTTTTACCGTAATTTATTCATCCGATAGTTTTGATGAACATACTACGAAATCGATTCAAAATATCTTTGACATATCGTTGAAACAATGTAGTAAGATAAATTATAAGAATTTATACAATTTTCTTACTATCTGTGTATATACCAATATAAGTGGCATCATCTCATTCGAGGACTATATAAACTTACGATTTTTTTCACTTTATCGATATCTCTTGATTTTAAAAATTGAGCATAACTCGTTGGTACACCACTAACTCTTGATCGATCTTTTTTGTTTTGTAATGATAATGATGATGGACATATTTGATCAAATGAAAAATTTGATATCTGAGTTTGAGGTTGAAGAATTATTGGCGGATTACATGTTGTTAAATTTGATTCTTTGTTAATATTTGTTGTTGATAAGGTAGTGGATGAAGATGACGATACTTGTGTTGATTTTATTGTACGATTAATATTTGTATCGAATGTAGGACTCGTATTGAGTACACATTCATGTGGAGAATAGAAAGATAAATTTGACTTTATTGTTGGTTTTTGTCGTTGTTTACTCATGGCATACAGAGCTATATGCTCCTTTAATGTTCAAGGAAATTAATGCTTATCAATTTTTGAAAATATGCCGTTATTATCTAATTATTGTTATTTATTACCGTTCTTATCATTTAAAAAATACCTCGATCTCTAACTGTCGCTATCTTTTGATATTCTTAGTTCTTTGTTTTTAACACACGAATATATTTATACGAATAAAAATATAAAAATAGTCTTTACCGTTTATAAGCTCTCTTTCTTTCTATAAATAACAATAATATAGAGAAAGTAAAAATATCGATTAAATGCAAAAAACTTTCTTCTTTTTTTCTTCTTCTTCTTCTCTATCATTGTCTTTTCTCTCTATATGTTTTTGACATTAATTGCTCAACACTTTGATGAACAATATTCCACTGTTCATTCTTTCGAATAAATTTCTTTTTCTGTCACATATATACACTTCAGACAACAAGAAAAATACTTGATTTTCTATTTTTTGAATATAATTGTTATCATTTATAAAGTTAAACAAGTATTTTATTTACTCTTATCTCCTTTAAATATATTAGAAATGAAGTTATTTCTTACTCTTGTATTATGTACATTCGATATTGTTGAACAAATGATTGGAGATGTTGATCTAAATGGCATGGCAGTTTCAGATGATGTAACAGATTCAAGACAACGTTCAATATGATTTGATTGTTGTCGATCTTTAACGGTTAAACGTTTTTTACGACGAACACTATTTTGACGTCGAGATGATGATTTTCTTTCGGTTATAAATGCTGATGCTATATTGGCTAAAGAAACATGTCTATCTGATGAATGTGATACATTTTGTTTACCATTCATATTCCTGAAATAAAAAGATTTTATATTAATTTTAGTTATAGCCTATAATCGAAAGTCTTCATTATTAAAAAATGATTATGAATTGTAGAAATTCAAAAACCCACAAAATGAACTTTAAAAAACTAATATAAATACGCTAACTAACACTTTTGTTATGATACTGTTATGTAAATAAGACAAGAATAGATAAGAAAAGAAACAAATTGACAATCACGAAAACTCTTGATTCATTTATTTTTAATGCATAAGTTTTGCAAGATGACTAACGGGTTAAAACGTTGAAGGTTTGGCCTAATTAATGCATTACCTAACGTTGTAATACCAGCCAATTTTAAATTTCTTGCTCAAAGACTGCCTAATATGTAAAACTCAAATTACTCTTTGACGCGTCAAGGATTTACTTGTCCATGTGTTATTTTCATAAAGTTTCCCACATATATTTAGTATATATTCTCTTTTTTTCAATTTTTTGTTTATTATCATGTATCTGTTACAAATTTACGTTCTGTTTTCGAATATATATCTATTTCATTGTCTAAAATCACTATTATTTATCCCATTAGATGAACGTTTTACAACTCGAAATATTGTTCTCAATTTGGGTAACTTAATCAAAGATGATTATGAGCTAATAACACCATCCCTCGATATTATAAGTCATTGGAAATCACCAGCTAACATAGATGCTTTACAAACATGGTTAAATGAAGAAATAATTAAATCAAATTGTACAAATGAAAACAATAATATTTGTTATAGTTTAATATCTAGTGAACTACTATTCTATGGTGGTTTAATTCATAGCCGATGTAGTAATGATTCAGTTTCAATTATTCAATCTCGTATTGAACAGTTAATTAATTTAAAAAGAAAATATTCATCATCATTAAAACTTTATTTAAGTCAAATTATCATGCGAATACCCGCCTATGATGAAGACTTTGAAGAACCGCATTATTGGGCAATATATGGTAGATTGATTTTCGAATGGAGTTTTTACTATGATCGATACACAGTATTACATCAACAATCAGATTATGATGAAATGAAAGAACGTGAAAAGAAAATACCAGAAAGTGTATTAAATGAATTTCTGTGGAGAAGACAGCGCAATTACAATGTCACAAATCTCATATTAACAGAATATTCACAATATTTTGAAAAAATATGGATCACCCTGGATGATAATGCTTTGTATGGCTTGAATAAAGCAGAAGAGAGAAATTTGACAGATTTAATTAATAATATTTTAAATATAACAGATAAAGTGAATTTGTATCCAGGTGCAGATGAAGTTAGTTTAACAATGTTAAGTAAAATTGTTGTCGATGATCTTAGTTTAACTAATAAACTGCGCTTTTCAATCATATATAGAAACACATCCACGGTTAACTTCATACCTAACTATGAGGGATCGCCATTGAATGAGAGTATTGTCAAACAAGTAAATGCTGCTGGTGGCATTGTTGTGAGTAATAATGATCCAAATTTTAATCTGAATAATACTGACGTTATTGTTATTGTTAACAATTGGTCAACAAATGCACAGCAAGAAGCAACACAAACTCAAACATGTGAAAATTATACAACGCTAGAACAATTTTTAAATTATAGTAGTGAAAAAGCGATTGTATTGGCTGATGTTCGATATAGTAACGGTGGTGATTTATGTTTTGTTGATTGGATTTTGAACAACAAAACAACACAAGGACTTTTAAAATTTGGTAACTACTCTTATGCGGGTTGGAATACAAATGGAAATACATTGGGCACGTGTATTAGTAATGGAATGTTATTGTCATTATTTCAAACAAACGTCAACACAATTAATCAAAATAAACGTTTTACATTGTATCGTTTTGCAGAAGATGCCAAATATCAGGCATCGCTAAGACAAAGTTTGTATGAATATCTAACACAAGTATCATACGATCCTACTGACCATTTAGATGTCGATATCGACTTCTATTCACAGTTCGTACAAAAGGGTTTACGGCACTACGTACAACAAATACAAAAGGAATGGAATTTAGAGTCATTATACTTTCCATGGAATAGAACGTTTGAAATTGGATTTAGTATTAACTCTGCATTGCAGATCTCTCTCGATACCTACCAACACTAACGTCTACCATCGTTTGATAATAATATGTCTATGATTTCAATCGAAAATTGCGTTAACTGTAACAAAACACTTTCGCAAAAATATTTCATTTAACAGACAAACCGTTGATAATTTTTAAAACAAACAGATCAGAGAGAAAAAGAGAAATTGTATCTTTCATTTTGGTTAATAGTACGTTATTATGCTGAAATAATTTTAAATAAATATCTGCAAAGTTGCAACAGTTTTCTCTTCTGTCATCTAACAAGCCAAAAAGCTTTGTTTTTTTCCATGAACAAATTTTCATTCATGTAGACTGAAGCATGGCTTTTTCTTGTACAACTGCTTGAAATGCCCTAATTAGAAAATGAAATTCCGTACTTTGAAATCTGTAAAGCGTTAAACATTCTGGAAAAAGGAAAGAAGATTTATGTCTACTATCCCTCTGGAAATCGTCAATAAATTATACAACAGAGTAAAAACATGACATTTTGATTCGTGATAAATGGAGCATGTTGACAGTTTTTAATCGTTGATTATAGGCAATGGCTAGTGTTTTTGTTCCTGTGCAAGATAAATAGCAGCTTCTTACGACGAAACCTTCCTATGTAATTAAAAGTTTTTCTCATTAAAGCTAGTTTTTCTCGGCTGATTCTTCATACTGATCGCGAATCTGATGTCTGTTTGTGCTCTTATTTCACTTTAGAAGCCTGATCTCAGAAGACCCATGATGGGTCGAGAATCAAGAGATTTTTAACACTCATTGAGTTGCCTATGTGAAAATCTTTTAGAACTACCGAACAAGTTTTAACTAAGCTAGAAATAGTTCTCACTTAAGGGAAAGATCCAGCTTTTTCAGGTGTGTTAACAGTAAACTTTTTCTAACACAGTTAAAACGTCTTCGATAGTCCTAAAAATTGTTCACATAGGCAACTCAATGAGTGTTACAAACTGGTCAGCTTAGAATCTCTTGATTCCCAGATCCATCATGGGTCTCCAACAAGGGAGCAACCAGAATTTTTTGACTGTTGGGACAGCCTTCATTAGTTTGAAAAAACGGACTAGACCACGTTATGATAATTCGAGAAAATACTGGACCCAAAACGTTTTTTTAAATCTTTAGCTGGGGAAGTCATAAAGTTCAAAATCTCATTGAGCCGAGGCTGGAATTGCACTGGACCATGGCCCAGCGTCCATTCGCTCCCTCCAGTTGTGCCACTGGGAAGACATCGATTCGTGATCAGTATGAAGAATTTGCTGAGAAAAACTAGCTTTAATTAGAAAAACTTTTAATCATTTAGGAAGGTTCCTGGGTTAGTCGAAACAAATTTTGTTATTGAAAAAAATTAGAATGGTTGTCGGTAATTAAGATGTTATTTTGTATCGGAAACTAGGCGTCTAATGTTTAGCCGACATCGGTAATTCAAAAATATTTCAACATTTTCTGTCTAGAAAATGTTGCTAAATGTTGCCAACTATTGCTTTAATGAGCGGTTAAATTAATCAAAGTATTAGTTAAGGAAACAGTTGCAACAAAAGATTTATCAATGTAAAATACAATTTAGATTACTTACTTTGATGTTCTGACATCACTGGTCCCTCTTCTTGAAGGCATTAATAATAATTTCCTTGTACTATTCTTTCATTAACTTCGAAATTAATTACTTATGTTTAACAAAAAATTAAATGTTTCATAGAAATGTTAATGATATACATGGTAAAGAGCATCAAAATTTTTCATTTGGTCAAACATACATTTACCGACTCTGACAACGATAGCAAAATATTTTTTTAGTTTTCATCATGCATAAAGTTAATATTTTAATAATAATTTTGCTCTTTTTCACAGCAGTGGTGAAGATTTATCTATAAATTTCAAAATTAAGTTTCCTTTTCTGTCTTCAATCATTGGAGCTAGGGTATATGAATAAACGAGAAGACACTATATATTATTAGAATCCTCTTCTTCTTTTTCTTTTTCTGTCGTTGTCCTCCAAGTGGTAATTTAATATGTGTTGAAAATCCAGTATTTAAAGAATTACATTCATAGTTACACAAGAAGAAAGAGAAAAAAAATGATTTTGCACCTTTTATAGACGAGAATTTTGACAGTTTTCTTAGGAATATTAAGTATATAGTTCTATTAGTTATGTTCTAAAATTTATTGTTCTTATATTATACACTCATTCATTGAATAATCACGACACACTTTGTCTTTTCCTGCTGTTTTGAAATTAAAGAAACTATCAGCACGGAATATATGGATTCATCACCTATAGGTATGACAGACCTCATTGAATACTCAGACAAAATAAAATGAAGCTGTCAATTTGATGCTTCTATCTTCTCATGCAAAAAGAATAATAAGCGAAAATACACGCAATCTGCATTAGAAATAAAAAGGAAAAACGGAATTTGTGTATGTCAAAACTCTCTCTCTAAGTGAATTATAGTTCACTCAGTTGTGAAAAAAGGTTTTGTGTGAAATAAGACTCTTCACGTATAAGATGACAGGCAGACGCATGTAAACATGTGTTTTCTCACCTTTCCTAATACATGAAAGACGCCCTTGGTCTGGCATAGATTAAAATAATTCTTTGCACAAAAATATTCTAGTTCAACAGATACGGTTCTCTTTGCTAATGATACTCAATCAGTCAATTCTACAGTTTTTACCTCTTACTGTATAACACTTTTAGCTATAGCTGATCAAGTTTATCTGTCTCAAATGGGAAATAAAATTCCCAGATGATGTAGAATATTTTGTTGCAAACGCCACGTCAGACGTGCCTGTATTTCCTTCGAACTTTTCTGGATAATATGAAGCAAAATTATTTCTATAAAATCAGACATATGAAAGTCGATCCATACTCACATATAGTATAAATTTGACTGCAGATATAGTTTTTCCTGTTTCCCAACATATACGAGCTTTTTACTAAACGCTGCCTTCAAAATAGAACTAACTACTATGACCGCCAAAATGAATGTGGCTGGCTATTGTTTGAATAACCAGAGAACATAATATACCAGAAACGTGCGATTTCAGTGTCCGATAACCAAGACTTTATACAAGCGGAAACGTTTTTCAACAATATTTCAAAAACCAGTTGTTTCAGAGAATCTCTGAAAAACTGCTTCGTATCTCGAGAAATAAAATAAGAATCCATAGATATTTTTTTCATGAATAGATAGTCAAAAGTACTTTCTCCAAAACTGAATCTAAGCAAAACCTCAAAAGTTCATCTTTGGGCTGAAAAACAGGATTTTCTAGGACCACTAGGATCAGACTTTCTTTTGGTCTTGCAATCTCGAAGAAACATGGTACATAGGCAACCGATGCTCCTGATCATCGTGGCAATGTTTATTTTCTTGAAAGTAAATAATTCCAGATGATGAGAGTTTTAAAAAATACGGTTTTTAGGCTATTATCACCTAAAGTTAAAAAGCCCATAAAGGCGTTATTTTTCATCCAAATCCCTTGGAATTCCCAGAAAAGGCTTTATATGTTCTTTTTCAACTAACTCTGTATTTAGAAGTTGGTTTCATATACCTTGAAACCTTAGAGATCTCCATTGAAACCAGAGACCTCGTAGAAAACCTGGTAGGAAAATTCGTGAATTTGGAAATTTTTAAAGCAAATGCTTCTTAAATAATGTAAAATGTATGTCTTATGAAAATTTTAAGTGTTTTGGATGATAAATAACGTCTTTTTATGGACTTTTTAACTTTAGGTAATAATAGCCTAAAAATCGGATTTATCCTAAAACCGGAGAAATCTGAGAAGTGATTTTTTTCGTATATCATAGGTTAGCCTTAAACTTGTTTTTCTTGCACAAAAAGTGATTTTTCTTCAAAATAAAACAAATCGGACCTCAAAATGTTCGATTTTAGCGCCGTTCGAAAAATTTTCTCAAGTAAAACTTAGAACTTTGAACTGAAATAATGTCTGACGAAAAGACAAAAAGAAAACAAAGTTCACTCCGAATTGCTTGTGATGACAAAGAATTTAAATTCTTGCCAGTGAATACCGTTTTTCAAGTGCTGTCTTGTCTTTTTTGTATCACAAAACGGAACGAATTAAATTGAAAAAACTATTTTTTATACTAGAAAGTACTCGAGACTACAGATTCGCAATACTTCCTCCATATTCTCTTATTTTCAAGTTATATAAAAAAATGTTCAATATGTTTTTTTGTAGAAAATTAAATGGTGCATCTTTTTAGAAAAATTACCATGTGATCATATTTTTGCACTGAGATATATTCAAAACAAAAAATAAAAACGTCCTCCACTAATGTACTTAATACTGATGTGAATACTTGAGAAGAAATTATCCTGTTAGCTCTAGTTATATATATATATCATTTTTATTATAGGAGGTTGATTAACAAGACAAAAAGATAGTTAATTTATATCTCTTGCATGTTGAAAGATACTGAAAGCACGTCCCATGTTAGTTGAAAGCATGTGAAACATAGTCAAGGGGTTTCTTTTATTATTTATAGTGATAAATAATCACATCAACAATAAAACAATATAAATTGAAAAAAAAAGTCGACGTATGCTGAAATATATGTTCTAGGCAGATATTAGATTTTCTATACTCAAAAATTCATAGAAATGCTAAAATACCTAAAATAAAATGAAATTAGAAAAAAACATTTTTCTGGAATTTCGAGCGTTCAGAAAGCCTTCAAATACTATTGTTCAAAGTATAAACTAGATGCGCCCATATTAATTCATTGAAGTTTTTCATCCAAACTCACATGAAGCTACAAAAATACATTAAAACTTACCAATCTACAATACTCTTTTAACTGTACATAGGTAATATTAACAAAAATTAGACAGAAACAAATTCTCTCTTATATTAAGTATCAACAAAGCTTACGAAGGAAAGTCATTTTTGGTGCATGTGCAAGCATTCTAAGTCACTTGTTTTTGGTGATTGTCACATCGGTTAGAAACGAATCGAAATCATTCGGTCTACATTGGGGTGGAGTGCTGATGTGTGCGACTTTTTAACTTTTCAATTCATTTTTACGATATTCAGTACAAATTGGACGCGGAGTACAATTGGTCTTATGACCACAAGTGCGATTGATTGATAGAATAGGCTTTTTTCATACTATACATGTAATTTAGAAGGCAACTAGCTATTGCAGTAGCATAATAGTTTTCCTCAAAATATAATAATATTATGGCATCGATAAATTCTAATAGTACTTTTAAAAAACATGTGTGTTGCGAAATATGCCAGTTCATTTCTTTTTAATTAAGTAAGATGATATACATCCTTGCGGCAATTCTAGCTAATATTAAGGAATATCGATTATCGATTTGATACTGTAAATAGACACATTTTGTTTTAGCGAGTATAGGAGTATTGTCCTGTTTGTTAGGAGACTCTGTAACTATCATTATAATATGACACGAAAGTATAAGCAAAGGGAAAAATATACCAGGTGAAATCGTTGGATTTAATTATCATCCTTTGATAATGTTGTCATTCTACTCCTTATAGAATTATATATTTTTCTTTTGTTTTTCGAAGAGGAGGTGTACACACAGATCAAAACCTGTAAAACAACGATGTGGATCACGTGTTTTTCAAAATAAAATGCAGTTAGACAAAGAGTGGAATTCACTGATATTATAGTTAAGATGTTGTAAAAAGCACGTTCATCAACATGCAACATTTTAAATTCAATCTTCAAGATTAATTATTTTATAATTTTTATAATTATTCGTCTTCTATCGAGAAAAACTCTTTTTCTATAACAAAAGCTGGTAAGTTTTCTAATAAACGAGCTGAATACATTGAAACAATAAGAGATAGGTCTAATAGCAATAAAATTACCAATCTAGTGTAATAGTCATCTCCAGCTAAGTGGTCATTGATTGAATTTCAATGCCTTCGGAATCTTCAAAAGGAGACTGAATATAACTAATACACCAGTGTCAAATATTATACAAAGGTATGAACTTTATTTAACTTGAATAATTCAGATATATTGTTTACTAATCTAATTTGTATGAATAAATACAAGTCAACTAAGAATCTTTAAATATTCGCGCAAAATAAAAAGTAAACACAATACACTATTTACAAGTAAAGCAAGTCACTTACTCGGTCTACTTTTGTAACATTAAAAAAATCCAGTTCATTAGATAAAAGTTGCACAGAAATTCGGACACAAATTTAGGTTTTTACATTTGTTCTTTTTTAGACTCTTGATATCGTCAGAAAATGTTAAATTTGGGTCTGAAATTTCCTAGAACTTTTCATCCAATCAGCTTAGTCTTTTCAACAATAAAATAAGAGACTTTTTTCACCCGTCAACGGGTGATAACATAACTTAGATGCACTTGCCGTAAATTGTAAGAATTGAGTCTGGGATCGTTATTTAAAGAAACAATTAAGTCGAATTGTATTAAAGGCATCAGTTATGTCGAAAATCGTCTAATGCAGAGAATGAAAATAAGACGAATACGTGCACAGCTTTGTTTTATTAAAGCAACATCTTTATAGTAGAAAAACTGAAAAAAATCTACTTTTTCAAATGTAGTACTGTAGACGTACTATTTTGAATCATCGATTAAACATCAGTTGAAAATGATAGCAATATGAGTTACATTTATATATATTTTCGCAATAACTTAGTACTCGCCATCGCGTCAAAAATATAAATTTCGGGGAAAACGTGAATAATTAGTTAGAGAACTCTACAGTGTCTACCATCAGAACCCACATCTTCGATATCAAAAGTGTCACAGGGTTTCTGAAAACTAATGTAATTTAAAATCCTTATTAATTTGACTTTTTCAAAAATCATCTCGTTTGATAACCTTTAACGAGTAATTCAGTTTTAGTAATGTCATCCTGTAGAGCAGACGTTGTTGACTAAGAGCTCTCCATCAGGAAACTATTTTTGACAGATTAATTCGCATCTCGATGACTTTCAACGAATGTTGAGCATATCGTAAATAGTTTATAGTAAAAATTTCGAGTTTATACATATAGTTCGCGAGTTATGGGTACAACAAAAATCAAAACAGGGTTTCTGGTGTTTTAAAGACTTCTGTTCGCTTTTCATTTTGCAAAGTAAAGATGCGTAGAGTGTGTGTGTGTGTTTTGCGCCATGCGTCATGATCTATAAAACTTTTCATAGCCTTGGACTGCCCTATGAAATTTTCTCGAATTGTGTTTATTTTTCAATGTGAGATGTAATTTATTTTATTCTACTGCAAACACTTGTATAAAAATTGTGCCCTTTTAACCCATCACATTACTTTTCGCTCAGCAACCCATGTAAAATTTGTCTTTTTAACATTCCTCGCAGATGCGTTTGAATGCGTCCAAGATGAAATATCTGGATTCAAATGCGTCTTTTCAAGTACATGATTTTGTTTTGTCCTTTGTGACGTTGTAGTGCTAAAATCAAACAAAACCATCTCAAACTTTATAGCGTCAATGTGGAAAGGAGAACTGTCTAATACGTCGAAAACGATAAAATTCGATTTTGAGAAAAACGAGAAACAAGTTTTAGAGTTACAGACCGTTTTTTTCTAGACAAACTATCTCTTAAAAAAGAAAGTGAAGACTCATTTAGTTCTAAGTATGTCAGATCTGATAGGCATGTATCGCGTATTCTTCAGCATATGCACATAGCATAACGGACAATCGCAAAAAATCTTGGCCTGCCACCCACAGCTGTTAGAAAACCATGAGAAAACCCTTATCATAAATATCAGTAGTAAAGTATTAAAAAGAGAACATTTCGCTTAATCTAATCACATGTCTTTCTTGAAATTTTTTTCTTGTTGACCGCAAGGGCTATGTGATCAGAAGCGTTACGAAGCTTACGAGTCTCTCTCAGAGGTGCAACCGATATCGGTATACCGGTACCGGTACGAATTATGACGCCAACCGGTATTAGTATGAAGTATAATCAGTCGGCCGATATTGCTGGTATTTTGCGGGATGATACGATTTTTTTTCGAAAACCATCGTGTAAATTCAGTTCATCTATGACATATTTCTCCCACTAAAATTTCATTCCAATTACTTAAACTTTGTCGACTTATATAAACTTCTCAGTTTAAAAGATTGAATTGGATTGCTGTTTTCGTAAAAAACAGCGTGTGAAAAATCAGCTGTACATAATCAAACTGAAAAGAGTAATCTATCGCTTTGATAACATAAAATAAAGTTCGCAGTAAAGAAAAACAAGGAAAAAGTATCTGTATTTAGGCAAGATATGATCAAGACAAGCCGATACCGACCGGTACCGGTACGAAGTTCGTATATTGGTGACCGGTAGATCGCAAGTAGAGAGTGGTAACTAATTTTTCACAAGCAAAAATTGTTTGTTAAAAACTTCTAAAGACCGATTTTTTAGAGGATCTTTGGAAAACTACTTCGGTCTTTGTAAACTGGCATTATAATCTACCGTTTTTTTTCGTAGTTAAATACTCCAAAGCATCCTTTATAAAACTGAAACTAAGCAAAAGCTCCATTTTTCTTAGCCTAGGTGAGACCGAGGTTTTCCTCGAATCCTTAGGACTGCTTTACTATTACGCCTGTAAGCCTTAAAAATACATGGAAACATAGGTTATCAACTATGCTGAATCTCGTGGCAACATTTGCTTTTCAAAACAGTTTCTAGAACACCTTTTCAAAAACCAAAGTACAATTTGTTTACAAGAAAGAAGTAATTATATTCTGTTCACTAGGGGCAATAGCTCCCTTTGCCCAGAATACTTATTAAGTTCTTTCATTAGACTAATTGATGATTATTTATCAACTATATCAGTTACAATTTAGTAACAAAAAATACATCTGTAATTTTAACAAAACACTTTTCTTTTTAACTATTCATTTATTGATTTATATTTAAGCAAATCAACTCATAAGATATTACTGGTAGGATTTGTATAGCCGCATGTATTTTTCAGATCTAAATAGATACAAAAGACTTACTGATACAATAGAGAAACAATGAGCAATTTAGTCACATACTTGAGAAAAATTATTAACTATTTATCAACTGTCAATTATTTCATGAATAGCATTAAATTTAATCTTCAACTGATGATGACATTTCAACTCGTATTCACAACTGTTTTAGTAATAGATCACAATGATCAATTTGAAATTGAAAACGTCCATTACAATAACACTGAGATGGTTTTGATCTGTTTTTCAAAAATACAATAGGGAAACGACAATAATTATCTAAAATATATACAGTTCACAGGTTTTAATTCATGTCGCAATTTTTTCTCTAATCATGCGTCCGAACCTGACTGACAAATACATTCATAGTAATTTTCATGTATACGATGAGTTTTTCCGTTTTCATATAGTAATTTTGCAGATAACCTAGTCAAGGACATCTAAAAAGTATTATTCTGCAAAATTAGAACGATTCTAGAATATTAGCACGTACATGATAACATGAACATTGACCATTTAACATAATTGTTAACATCTGCTCAGTAACAAGAAAAAAATTTTGTGCAGCTGAAAAACCTTGAGACATAATATTATCATTATCACCATGTTGAACACTGTATAAGTGACATAATTCATGTAAATAAACGCCAACAGAATAAAAAAAATGATTTGATCTAAAATATCAAAATGAATAATTATTTAATAGAATAGACACAATTATTGAACTTACTTTACATTAAGAATATTCCAGAAATCATTTAAAGATTTTGGCCAATTAATAAAATAAGGTATACTAATAACAGTGAATGTATCATAGGCTTGAAGAAAAAACAAATTTATAGTCAATTTAAAATTAATTTATATATATTATAAACTAATTAAGAATGTTACCAAATGCGCATGTTCCAGATGTTTCATTCATTTTAAACTCATCATTAATATCTGTTAAGAATGATAGTAGTGCTATAACTCTACTCTTATTTCTATTAGATATAACATTATTTGATTCTAAATAAATTTGTCGATATAAATCTTCTCCATTCATTTTCATATAGAAATCTTTTTTATTAATTAATTTAACACAATGGCATTGTATTTTATTTGTTGTTTCAATCTGAAATGTTCTTCGATAACCCGTTTGTTTATATAATATTTCATTTAATACACATTGTATAATCTTAGTCATGTATACAAAACGGGGTATATGTTCAAATAATGAATCATTTTCATTGACACTTGTTAAATAGACAAGTTGAATAAAATTTTCAGTAATAATAGATTGATAAATCAATGTAAAAGATAAATGACTTTTTGTTGTAGATAGTTGAATAATATTTACACCTTCATGAAGTTCTACAAATATCTAAAAATAAGGTAGAAAAAAGTTATAGAAAATAAATTTTAGAATTAATGATAATATACCTTAAAAAATCCATTAATAACAGGCCACTCTAATTTTGTATCACCATTAGCAGCAATGATGATTTCATCATAGGAATTATCAAAGCCAAATAAATAGATGATAGAATGATTAACAATATCACCAGAATTATAGTTGATTAGCCAAATGCACATACGATGTATCTGTAAAAACAAACAAACAACAATAGATAGTCGTTGACTTTTCTTGCCATTAGTAAATCATAGAAAAGAAAATTATATTCAAGAATCTTTTTCTAGAGTCTAAAAAGATATTTTATTTACAATAGAAATCAAATAAGAATACAATTAGAGTTCAAATACGAAAGCAAAAAGGTTTTATTAGACAAATAATTTATTCATTATATCTTGGTTCAATGCTTGATTATTAAAATGGCTATAATAATAAGTGAAATGTTTAAAGAAACAGTGCAAGTAACAATTCTATATGTAATAGATTTATGGGTGTAACATTTAGTATTAAGACACAAGTATGACTAGTGAATTAAATGAGCGCAACAATTTAATTCAGTTATTACTCTTTACATAAAAAAAAAATGAAAAGTCATTTGAATAAATCTTATTTATACTCTCATTATTATTTATTTTTATAGTATTTCATTATATACTCTCCAAATAATACAACAGATAAAAGCAAAAAAGAAGTAAAATAATTCGTATCTATTTATCTTTTTTGATTTGTAGACGTGAGAAATCAAAATATTGACAGAAACTTTAGCTATAAGAAGATATAAAATTACATTAAAGAGGCTATATGAGAGTAATAACAAAATAAACAACAACGTTTTCAATTAGACTAACAGGATGGAAAAAAGAGTTTACTGGAATGTGAACATTCATAATGTCAAAGAAATGAGATATTATAAGATAAATAAATAAGATAGATAGGAAGAAGACCAGATGGAATGAGCATATGAGAGAAAAGAAGAAAAAAAAAAATGATAAAAATATTTTCAAAAAATATGATGAACATGAAGTTTACAGTAGGAATGTTAAGATCACTTTTGTTTGAATTGAATAATACATAGTGTATAATTAATACAGTATTTTTAAAAATAACAATACTTTTTTTCATTCATAATCAAAATCTTTTGTTATTTATAATATAAAAATTTATCCTATTTATATCAGTATCGATTTCTGTCATGACAAATTAATATGTTTATACTGTTTTCTAACAAGTATGTGTATGACATTGGAAATATTTTTATATATATGTTTATATTATCTTAAATATGACATCCCATCGTCGTTCAAAAGGTTAAAATTTCGAAATCATTTTCATTGAAAATGTTGTCTATATTAAAACGAAAACAAGTGTCTTATATGCTCTTATCACTTTATTTTGAAGTCATACATATCTCATCAAAAACGATTACATGTTATTTTTTGTTTTTGTTAAGAGACAATACTAAAGAAAAATAGACATCCAATTAACATAGCAAACATCGAGTAATTTTCTCTTGTTGAAGAGTGAGGTACTGTGGATAAGAAAGAACTATGAATCGCAAATATAAATATATGGCAGATGAAGAAAATGCTATTAAGCATGTCAATCAAAGAAATAGAGAGAAAAAAAGATTATCATGGTATCGATCATACCGTTGGTACGTACATATATATATGCATACATAAAAACGAACGAAGGTACAGAAATCTAACACTATACTATATAAGAAATGTTCTTTTATTCTCTCTTTCTCTTCTATACAAAAAATATTTATCCTACCAGATAACACCGTAGAAAGAAATGATTTATTCTGACACTACTTTTTCCTATATGAAAAACTAGTGTCTATTAGTCTTATTTCACCTTATTTTTATTTTATACATCGTAGTTATTTTTTTTTAAAAAGTTTTTTTCAAATCTGTCGTCGACGTTAACGCCTGATATGGCATCATCAAATGCTGGTGATTCAACCACTACAACAACATTAAAAGAAAGTCCAAATAAAATTGATGTTGTATCATTAATTGTTCTTGTATCATATCCCAAACATTATCGAATATTTGCCGAAAAAGAATTGGTTCATGAAATAATGCCAAATGCATCTGATAGCGCATTTGTTTGGTTTGGAAATTATTCAGCCGAAAAAGATGAACATCCTCCAGTGTATATGGATGTTATTGCACGAATGATCCGTCTAGGATACAATATACAAGCATCAACAGGTGGTGGAGGTAATCCGGCTATTGGTGATAATATGTCAACACATACCAGTCATTACATACTTACACGAAAACGTGAATAAAACAAGATATTTTAGTATATTTTATTAACTGTAAGTTCAGTCAATTTCGTACTAGTCTAGAAAATCAATCTATTTATTTTTTCCTGTGTTCATTTTTTTGCTTTTTTTTTTGTTCGATGAAAATATCAAGTATCGAAAACCGCAGAATGATACTTTTATTTATTTTCATAATTGAAATAGACCCACTTTACATAGCATAGATGTTAGTTTACGGTCAGACAGTGTTACCTAAAAATGTCTGGTATATATACGATAAGGTTAATTGTACATCTAGAAATCATCTAGCATGATGTTAGATGTTCTCTTAGACGGGAAAAATATTCTAGTTTTATTTTTATTTTTACTCCAATATGCAAAAAAACAAAAAACGAATCATATAGAGATCTTTTCTTTATCGTTTAATAGACTGTCGAAAACTATTTTTTAAGGTACACTCCTATTTTGAGCGAGTCATCAATTAATTCTTTTTATGTTAATTTTCGATGCGATTATTATTATTTGTTAGATATAGAGTTAGACATAACACATAGAATATTCACCCGTTGATAAGGTAGAAGATATTAACGAAAAGTAATCTTCGGAAAAAAAAAATCACGTTATCTTATCTCTCTGTGTCATTTTTTTTATATATGCTGACAAAAACTAACAACCTATCGATCATGTGTAACATACGCGCGCGTATTGTACAAAAAGAAAACAATCATTCTATAAAAAAGCTGTTTCTGTCTAGTGATCATTATAAACAGTCACCTACACTCCATATGACCTATTTTTTAAAACAATGTCATCTATCATTTGATAATATATATAAAAATAAATAAAGATCGATTAAACATAACGCAATTGAATATTGTCTACTTTTAGATATGAACTTCTTACATATTTTTAGTTAAAGAAATAAACTACCAATAAGAAATTAACAACCTTGTACGGCTTTTTTTTCAACTATTAGAGGAATTAAAAGATAAGCAATGCAATATTATCTTCTCTTTCTAGGCTGTTAGTAATTATCTGTGAATGATTTATGCTAAAATTTGTCAATAATATGGACAAGAAACATCTTCATCTCATTATCAGTTTGCTCTTTTATATAAATATTTCGTAATGCACACTCCGTTTTCTCAATATTTATAGAAAAGCTTCTTAACCTGAATATGAATATGGCATTTTGTCTGAAGAATAACGTCACTGTTATTGACTCCTTACGGACTAGCATATGAGTGAACTTAGCAATGAACTACAGAACTAATATATCCATAATTCACAGTAAACAATAAGCCTACAATGATAAGCAACAAAATATATGAGTGAAATGACTATAGATAAACTAGTTTGTAATAGGGGTGGCACATTACTGTTACTTTTATGAGTAATCAAAATATTGTATATATTTCTATTGCCAGTAACACTTTTCAGTTTTTACTGTTACTAGCACAAATTTTATGAACATTCCTATTACTAGCAACAGTAGAACTCAAAAGTATTACTGTTACTGGTAATAGGAATATATATAATATTTTGATTACTCATAAAAGTAACAGTAATGTGGCACCCATAGTTTGTAATCAATATGAAATAATGATGCGTTAATTTATACTTACTTGTGTCAATCAGCAGCCTATCATTGAATGAATAATCAATATTCATATTGTATGTTTTTTGGACATATCATTTAAGACTACTATATTGTCGGGGAATCACGGTTTCCCTTTCAGTGATTCCCCTTTCAATATCTCGTCGGTGAAAAAAACTAGTACGATACTCTACAACAAGTGACATCCATGAAACTCAAAAACCAATTTCCAAATTTCTGATACTTTGTTATATAAGAATTGTAAATCCTTTCATAAGTGTAATCCTTGTTATACATGATACTCCTTTCTTCGAGAGATGTCGCACTCTGTCTGGAACATATGATACATGTCACAAACATTTGAGACATCCTTTTCTGGGTTCTCCTACTCTTGATTAGTTCTAGTTCTGAATTATTCCCCGATACTTTAAAAACTGTATATAAGAGTTGGTTTTCTCAGTGTATATCATTATTAGTTGTTATAAAGTTAGATTTGAAATAAAGATAGGAAAGATAGTATTAGTTATTCCGATCCTAACATATTTCTTCATCACTTATAAAAAGTAACAAGAAACAATAAAATAATAATATAATAATATTGAGGAACAGATTGTTCAACTTCAAATTTAGCAAAATATTTTAGTACTAAGTAAATCTGTCATAAAAATCAATAGAAGTTCCTTGAAAGTCCCACCTGACTCCTGCAGGATCCCGGCAGGTCCCTGTGACAGGAGCCCCGTGGGAGTTTTGTCGGGCGTCTCGACTAGAGTGTATATAGGGTATATTATTTAATCATGTTGAACGTCAATGTTCTGAACACCAGTGTTTTTACAATATTTGGCGAATTAAAAAAAAACACTCACCTACTGATATTCATATATATGTCAGTAAAAACTATTAGTATCCTTGTACTT